CCACAAATTCTCCTAAATCACTCGTAAGCACAACTTAAGAACAAATCTGTGCGTACGAACGGTTCTTGCATGAGGCCCAATCACGCTGCACAACCAGGAATAACTGAAGTAGAGAGCCATGTCAGCGGTCTAGTTGTTTATTTACGGTATCAAAAAAAAGACCCAAGTGTGTTTGTGCATATATTTTTAATATAATTTGTGTATTTGTGTAATATTGGTAAATATCGGCTATCGGCCATAACAGCAATAATTATATCGGATATCGGCTGAAATTTTCTTATCGGTGCATCCCTAAAAAATTCCCTAGACAGTTTCACAGAAACACGTCTACTGTCGGGTTTTCTTAAATCTTTAAGTAAAATATATTTAGCCCATTAGAAATGACCWTGCACCAATATTTCCTTCATACAGCCCAGTAGCTTTTGTCTTCTTGAACTTACCTCTCGGTACTAGCCACTCTGTCTCCCATTTAAACCTAATTTTCTGTAGCTTTAGACACCCCCACCCCACCTACATTACCCCTGGTAATGTAAGCCCGTAACGTCGGTCAGGAGTAATTCAAAAATAATTTCATTGCCAATTTTTAATGGTGTTAGTCATGCTTGAGTAATCCTGAATTAGCATCAGTTAGGAATTCAATAGCAGCCTTACGTTAGTGTAGAAGCTAAGTGCTAATTTGTGGTGATTGTCTGTGCTGCTGGGGGCTTTACTTTGGCAAGAGATAGGTAAAAAGGTCATTTAATAAAAGGTGCTCTTGTGTAAGGCTAGAAGCATATTTTGAAAAATCAAATATCTTTAATGTACCTGAATCGTCTTCATTTGTGGTTGGTTGCACAATGAAAGAAACTGTCAAAGCCTAGCAGTTGTCTACAGTGGTCAACTGCTAGGCTTTGACAGTTTTAAGGTAAGATTAAGACTCTTATTTTGTCATGTTACCAGTGCATTTCCTGTGCTATTCAGCACTCCAGTTACCAACCTGAAACCAAGAGGGAAGAGGACGTAGAAAGGGACGAAACAGCAAAGCAAGTTTTAGAATAGGGTCAGCATGTGTGAAAGATTTTCCTCAAAATAGGTCTTAGCGTGGGGGGTGACAGAATGAAGCTTCACTCTATAAAATCTGCACACAAAGATCAGAAAACCAAACACGTTTAAAACAAATGCATGGTTACTGTTTTCCCATGCAGGCCGAGGTTTGACAAACCTTAATGCAGGATGCATCATGCTGCATGGGAACCGGGGTTTGAAATTTAAGCCTACAGTAAAATTAGAGAGGCTGAGATGCATACCCCAGCTGTTCTAAATGTCCAAGTGTGTTTAGGAGAGCCTATCTGTCTTGGTATTTTACCCCATCTCTAGCTCTGCCATGTTTCTCTTTTCCACTTCTTTCTGGGCTTTTCCTCTTCTTTTACACCTTTGAAATAGTTATTTTTCTCTGTGACTAAACAACACTGGATAGCATATACAACGCGTCAATATTGTCTCTCAGATTGAGCTAAAAAAGAGTTGTTTCAAAGTTTTTCATTGGTCTGAACCAGAAGTTTGCAACCTGTGGGTTGGAGGCCACAGGTTGCATACAATATTTTTTTTACATTTAGTATTTATTTATAGCATAATAATGAATGGTGTTATCTTTATTTTTAGTAGGTTTTGTATCTCTGACTTTGCTCAGACTTGTCCACAGAACAGAGTGTCTTTACCTGGTCCCAAGCTCCACATGAACAGGTGTTGTTTTATATTCATAGGAGGCAGCTGTCCATTTGATGGTTTACAGAACCTTCTGGCAAAGGTTAGCAACAGTGAGCTTGCATTTTGTTATTGTCCAGATATTTGCTTTGATTCAGATCAAATCACTTCATTGGTCCTGAAAATAAGCTTCTTTATTACCTGCCACCATAGATGATAATTAATTTGCCGGTGTGTGTGTGTGTGTGTGTGTACATGTTTTTGTTACCCAGTGGGGTCAGTTTTTGACCATTTTCCTGGTGCACACAACCTGGTGAGGACTGAATGTTCTTTTTGGGGACAAAAGTCTGGTCCCCATTGGTGGGAAACACCATTTGTGGGTCAGGGGTTAGGGTTAGGACTAAGGTGTGTATTGAGTTTGGTTTAGGTATAGGGTATAGGATGGTTAGGTTTAAGGAAATGCCGGGTTCACACATCAGGATAATCGTGACGATCTTTTCCCTTCCAACAATCTTAAAGACGCTCAGATTATCGTGATGACTCTAAAGATAATCTTAGCAGATCTTCCTGCTGTGTGTGGTGAGTTAAGTGTGATCTAGTCGGCTCGGAAGGGTGTTGGACTGCTCCAACCTCAAATCGGGGATGTTCAACTTTGCCCGTTATCGCAGCATGTGTGGCGTCCACCAAGAACAAATGAGCTCGCAGCCTGTTGAATGTGACATGTAGAAAATCAGAAAGCAAGGTGACAATTATGGAGGGAATTCAAAATACAGAAGATGTAAAAAACTGTCAGGACTCACCAGAAAGTCTGCTGGACGTTGAAGTCATTTCGAATTGTTTTTCCTGTGTTAAAAATAGTCCACAAATGATCACCATYGTTTCTTTCTTGTCTCAAATGTCTGACGTCTGATTGAATTCTCCCAAGATTTCAAGAAGTCTCACGTGATTTCACGTCTGACATCTGAATGTTTATGAATGAAATCTGCCAGTGTGTGGTGTGTTGTCTGTTGCCGTGTGACTGTACACCACAGACTGTAGGACCAAGCCGTGTATATCCATGATTTATCTCTCAGTCTTTGAAAGTCGGCCGACAATTTTAAAATCTTGCCATGTGACGCAGCCTTAAGTGGTCAGGGGTAGGCTATAGAAATGACTGGTAAATGAATGGAAGTCAATGCAAAGTCCCCATGAGGATAGAACAAACGTGTGTGTGTGGTCAAATTTTATTGAAACTCTCAGAACGTACATCAACAGCTGATTAACTTTTGGAGTCCACCCATAGCAAGGCAGTAGGTAATATGCATTCCTTCAATGAATGTTAAGCCTTTAATTTTTGACGTGCTCTGACTCTGAAATATCTGGATTATACCAGCTGGTAAATTGATATTCTCCGTACTTAAAATGGTTAGCTGATGAAATTAAAGCCACAGAGACTTGTTATCCTCGCTTTGAAGCTTTTTTTAAAAAAATCTTTCAGCTCTTTGTTTTATTTTTTGTTTTAACACATGCAACTCTCAGGCAACATTTTTTTTACACATCTGAGCAAGGCATAGCGGTTTGGGCTCTAAAGGAAGATGACGCAAGTTTTTTTAAAACTGTGTGCACATATGTAACACATGGCCAGGAACAAAACCAACCATCCCTTTCATGCCTTCCTTCCACATGCCTGTGCTTTCGCACCTCCCATTTCGCCCTCCTCTCTGTCCCAGTGCTCCATCACACCTCTACGCCCATCGTTTTCTGCCTGTCACCTCCCACCACCACACATCCTGTCTGGGAACAGGCTGCATCACTTCTTCGGTTTGCCCGTGACTTTACTGTGCTAAAAAATCCCGAGGCATTGCCGCATACAGTCATGCCTTCTTCCACTTGCATTTCGCACATTTCAGAAATAGACGCCTATATGTTCCTCTTGGCTGCGTGTGTGTCTGCGGCGCGCATTTCGATAGCATGATGCAACTGGAATGCTGCGAAGCTTTTATATCGTGTCAGCTTTGAGCATTCCAGCGAAGTTCCTGCGATTCCTGGCTGTTATAAATTCATAAAACCGAAGTGTTTCCTCCGCCGCTRCCGTCAAACACGCATGCCCGGCGTGTCCTCCGCCTGTGGCTGATGAACAGACTTATTTCTGGGTCTGCTGCGCCTCCTCATGCATTTTAATATTTTCCTGTCCCACTCGTCAACAAAACAGGACAGCACAGGCTCCAAGGACAGAGGAGCATTTCGCAATAGAGACATCTGTGTGTTTGGGGTCACACTGAGGGAGGGGTGGGAGAGAAGGATGCAGACGGATGAGGGCAGGAGTCGATTGAGAGATGAGGGAGGATTGAAAAAGGAAACAAGAGCATTGATTGAAAGAAAGGAGGAAAGAGGAAGGGAAGAGGGATGAGCGGGGTTAATCAGGGCAGCAGCTGTCAATACTTACAGTGATGCTTGAACTTTGCATCTGGATACTTTCAGGCCTTTCTGCACAATGCGTTACTATAATGTTTCTGTCTACCCATAGTTACCTCATGTTTTTTATATTGTTAAATTTGTATGTTTCTTAAAGGATTAAGCACAAAAAAGGAGATTTTCGCACAGATTTTCTGTACTTGTGTTTGCGTGTTTGCACTATCTTATAAAGGATTGTACAAAGAACTTGTGCAGTTTAGTTTCTCCCATTCTTCACTGTCTTATCATGAAACTTCAACAGCACTAATGCTAAGTACACCAACGCTTTTTATTTTTTTCACTTTTGAGCATTTTTCTAAATGTGTTTTGACAAAAACACCATTACTTCAGTGGGCATTAGGCTGTGCTCCATTTGGAAAATCAGGATTTAAAATAGAGATAGAAACACAAGAGGAAGTGTTATGTTATTCAAATGATGCAGCTCAGTGATGAGTGATGGAAGGGGAGCATGAAAAAATTATAGAGGGAAGCCACTGTCAATCCTAATGATAGGAAAGYGTCACAAATAACACTCTAGCATGAAAAATGACTGTCGTTGGGTACTTTTTACTGGGAGGATTGGGGCAAAATGTGCATATTACTTCTGCCTTCTATGGTTTTTGTTTTCTGACATTATTCTTCATTGTTTTGTCCGCAGAACGGCCCATGCTAGGACAAAAAGTGAGGCTGCAGAACAGGCCTCCATCTCTGCCATACATGAGTCAGATATGGCCAGAGCCGTTGCCAGGGAGCTCTCCCCCAACTTTTACCAACCAGGTAATGCTTTAAAGCCAAGCCTTCATACATAGYGTGGGATTTTATAATATACTGTGTATAATTCTTGTGAGCACACAGACTAAACATGCTCATGTAATGCACACATCTATCAGTCTACCGTTCAAGCTACAAGCAAAAGAAAGAGTAGTTTATTTATTTACTGTCAAAATATATGCATTCCCATCCACGTTGCTCCAATAGAGCAGTGAAAATGAAGGCTCAGTCCACACAGGAATGACGTTTTGTGAATAAACAAAAGATTTAGTCATTTTAGCCTTGCATCCACATAAAAACAGTTGAATTAAAACAGCTAACAGAGCTAACACTAGCCRTTAACCGATCASTTTGKTTCGGACTAATCTTTATTTCTYTAAAATAAGATTGATTGAAGAACTATTTACAACAGGAAAGATAATTCTTCTGATTTGTTGAACCACATTTTAGCAGGTCTGAACTGTGGCTTCAAACTGCAGGTGCACTGAGAGGTTACAGAGGTCAGTGCCTTCGCTGAAATGTAATACTTTTTCTTGTAGCTAATTTTGTCTCAGCATTTGCCCAGCAGCGCAAGCATAAACGATTTTTAAGTCTTTTCAAACATGGCTAATCCAGGGAGGAAGTTCCGGCTTTTGCTTGAATTGTTTAATTTTATGCATGAGGGATTTGTGCCTTACTCATATACATTCATCCAGCCCAGGTGTGACAGGATCCTTAATATGGGGCGCCAAGTGTAAAATAAAATGTTTTAAAAAATGTCACCTATATGTTATTATTTAGCTCACTTTCTGAGTGTCAAATCCTAGTTTTAAAATTTCCTCTAACGTTGTATTGTTATTTAGCTCACTGTTCTTACATTTAGCAAATTTTTACTAAATGTTAAATTTAAATGTTAAATGTTATGTTTATGGCCCTGTGATGGACACTCCAGGTTGTACCCCGCCCCTCGCACAGTTACTGCTGGATAAGGGCACCAGTGACCCCTGTGACCCTGAAAGGAAGAAGCGGGTACAGATAATGGATGGATTGATGTTATGTCTAAATGATATACTCCAAATCTAAATCTGCAAATCTAAATGTAAARGCTTAATCTTAAATGTTGTGGCTAAACGTTGAACTTTACATTTAAGTATTTCAGAATGGAACACAGCTTTTGCTGTTGGTGTGCGGCTTTTKTTATGACATCATCATCCTGAGACAAATGCAACCGCTAAYGTTGCTAATGCTTCTAACGCTGCTAATGCTGCTAACGCTTCCCTGCAAGAGATCCGACTGTGTGGTGTCCGAGCTGCACTTTAAATTGTCAGACCACAGGTACCAACCATATTGTTTTCAATGAACACAGTTTGAATTTAAATGTTAAATAGCATCTTCAGCCTCGTTAGAAATGTTAGCGGTTGCTTTTGTCGCAGGATGATGACGTCACAACAAAAGCTGCGCACCAACAGTAAAGGCTGTGTTCCACTCTGACATTCTTACATGTAAGCTTTATCATTTAGATGCAACATTTATGATTTAATTTTTACATTTAGATTTACATGTTAGATTTAAGATTTAAGATTTACATAAAACAGTGAGAAAAATAACAATACAATGTCAGTGGAAATTTTTTCTCTAGGATTTTGCACTCAGAATGGGAGCTAAATAATGAAAATGTGTTGGTGACATTTTTTGACATTTTATTTTACTCTAAGGTAGAATGCTTGGAGCAACTAATTTGTCCATATTTCGGGTGATTGGTTGGGTGCTTTGTTTGAATAATGTTATTTGCACACTAGAGTTGTTCACGCTGACTTGGGTTAATAATGAGTTTGTTTGTTTTTTTATGTGCAAACATGAAGAGATTACTGTTCCAGTTCTGTGATTGAACACTGGAGAAACTGAGGATGATTTGTAACACCACAATGGTGGACTGTGTCAGTGTTTATACAAAGYTCACTGTATTCTGAATGGAGGCCTTTTCTTTGCCGTCAAAGGCCTGTTGTAACGGAAATACTTGCTATAGTCACCAAAAATAAGCATCACAGCAGTTTTCTTGTCTTTCTTTTGGCTGAAGGTTTAACCAGCATAGATCAGTTTACAACAGGGAMTGTCAGCTCTATTTAATCAAATTAAAAGGTTAATTGGAAGCTTTTTCACTTTCCACAACAAGCATGTAGCTACTTACCAGGTAATCAGGGTTTTATTATACTTGCTCAAAGGGTTTATATAAAGCAAACTCTTTTAGAGAGAATATATGAATGTCGATWTTAAAAAAACGATCAGTTATGTTTTACTGATTTTGTTTGAACAAGGCTTGAAAAATCCAAGAAGCTATGTCACCTGTTTTGTTTATTTTTATTTTTATTTATTTTTTGTTTATTTTTATTTACAGTGCAACATCTATGCTATCCATGTCTCTTCCATTGGCTGTAATATATTTAGGCCTGTGTGCAAGCAACTTTGGGCCCATGCCAAAAGCAACCAGAAAATAGTAGGTGACAAACAGATTGACAATGGGATCCAGTCGAGCACGTCGCTCACTAAGCCACAGAAATGGCCAGCCGGGGCCAGAGACGTCCTGCGGCTTGTTTGTGTTGTGGAAAACCGTGGTCATGCCTGGCAGGCTGAGTGTTCTCCAGGTTCACATGTGTGCACCGAGAGTGTCCTTGCCTTATAAGTCAGATCATGAATGAGAGAGTGGCCGATGTCATAATAAAGTGCAGTGCAGGGAGACATCTGAGCCGGAACATTTTAACCGTTTGGATACGTGAGCTCATCCGTTAGGCCCATCAGGCACCTGCAAATAGCCAAACTTATTTTACAAATGGCCATTTATTTCCCGTTTGCTAAATACTTTTTTTGCCCGCTGCTGAATAGGCAAGGGCCTCTAATGTGTGTGTGTGTCTGTGTGTGTTAGCAAAGTGTCTTATGAACCTCTTCACCGATTTTAATAAAACTTTCAGGAACTTTTCACAACTAATCAACATTAGCCAACACAAAAAATGGCTTTAAGTCAGTCAATTTTGCAGATACAGTTAAAATCTCATGTGTTGTGACACCTGTATAAGGTCACCCGTGACACTATCTTCAAGGTTTGACAAAAATGGTTACTAYTCTTGTCAGTTCTCAACAAAATGCGATCTTAAAGGTGGTGTATGATGCGACCTGGTTTATGCTTTGGAAGATGTTCCTCACCTTGGCTATCTGTTGTTGCTAAGTGCTAACTTTATAACATTCCCAATAATCTGCTTTACTTCCTCAATGTGCATCTTTCCCTCCTTCAGCTTCTAATGAACTCCTGCAGGGTTCGAGCCAGGGGTCTAAACCCCTTGTTGTTTGTAATTAGCATTTCAGACTCATAGCAGATTATCACCAAGATTGGGAGTGTGTGCTTCAAAAGGGAAGAGAGGGTCATGGCGAACAGGACCCTGACCTTTACGATTGATTCACACACAGCACCCTGAGGGGCAGCAGAGAGGGTCTGCTGGGCGTGGCCTGCAGCGTGACGTTAATTGGGGCTATCTTTGGTGCCGATGTGTGCTCACAGGGGTCTAATGGAGACATAGCTGAAATCTTTATGCACTGAGAGGAACTCACTCCCGCACTCACAGAGCAGCTGTTCCTTCCTTCAGCCACTTGCTGAAGTGTGTGTGTGTGTGTGTGTGTGTGTGTGTGTGTGTGTGTGTGTG